ACTCCATAAACTGAGCGTCTGTTTAAAAAGCCTGACCAAGCACTTCAAATCACAACGAAATTGGCTTTCACAAATCCAACGACGTGGGCGGCATCTAATGAGGTCAGCCACGGTAGGGCAACGGGGGCGTGTTACCATAAATATGGGCCACACTCACGAAGCATGTTAAGGCAATAAATAGTGAACGGCGAGTCAAAAAGGCTAAAACCTAAAACCAAAGCGCGTTACCAATTGTAACGTAAAGCGGGTCAGGTGAAAAAAAAGAAACATGTGAAGCCAGTGTTCGACAGTTGGACATTTTGGGGATTGGCAGAGACACACGCGCAACACACACACACACACACACACACACACACACACGCACACACACAATCAATAAACAAAAGTTGTAGTTAAACAAAAGCAACAGCCGAAAGTTGATGTCGAACTGTTCTTATCAATTACAGAATCGGGACGTCTTTTTGTTTGGGGCGAGAATCACTATGGTCAGCTGGGCATTGGCGGACATGGCAACAAAAACAACAACAACAACAACAATATTAATAATGGTGATATAGTCAGCAAACCGACCTGCGTCAAGTCGCTAAAAACATTGGGCTTAAAGATCAGCGATGCAGCCTTTGGCAACAATTGGGCCGTGATATTGACCCGTAAGTATGAACAGGCTAAAAAAGCTCAACTTGGGGCTTATAATAGGCAGAAAGTACGTTTACTTTCTCTATGCTGCACAATATTAAGATAATTCTCACAGGAATAATAATAATATAAATAGACGAAGACGTTGCGAAAAACTTGGTCGACCGAAACACTTCATCTTGCTTAAACAGCCCTAATCTGTCTTAGGGAGACACACTTTTTTCCCAGTTGCTACCTCCTAGTAATTCATTAAGGATGTACATAAGTAGTTTTTCCTTCTTGCTCCAGTCAGAGCTCCCGTTCGGGAGGAAAAGGCGCATCTTGTGAATGTGTTATGCGACTGTTCCATAAATAGGAAATAAATAATTCTAGTGTACCAGAGGGCATGCCGAAAGTTTAATACCCTTCTAAGCATATGCTGTTTAAAAGGTTTCTACACAAAATCCTTATTTCTGGAAGATTTTTCTATAGGAGCCATTCGATATACCAAACGTTTTCTAAAATAAACTCAATTTTTAAACGATTTCGTAGTCCGATGCTAAAAGATAAATAAAAAGCAGAGAAAAGTGCGAAACTTGAGCACAAAAAGCCAAAAGAACTTAAGTATTGATGATCCATCAATATTGCAATGAGAGCTATATGCTATAATGGTCCGAACCTGATTCCGGGCAGAGGAATGACTATATTGAGTCGGCTGCTGATATTTATAAGGAATATATATATATACTCTATAGAGTCAGAGAGGTCTATACATGCGTGACTAGATTCACTTAAATATGCTCACGTTGCATTAAATAATCATGCGACTTTTGACACATCTCGTTTACACCGTTTACAGTTTCAAATGAGGTATTTTTTACGGGTCGCAATATATTCCCCTTGGACACGCACGTGGCGCAGCATTTTATAGATGCGGTTGTCGAAGAGGAGCCATGTGCGATTATTAGAAAGCCCTTCCGCTTGGAGGAGTTTGATGATTATCTACCGAAGAACGAGGAGACGGACAACTTTGTGGCTCTGCAGGCGGGCAATGAGCACTTTGTGGTGCTAACCAGTGAGTAGACAGACAAGTGATAGTAAAGAGGGTCAATCCTCAATTCGAGTTCCTACTGCTTGCAGCCAAGGGTCGCTTGATTGGCTGCGGCTCGAATGAGAAGCAGCAGCTGGGAGATCTGGAGACAGACTATGATGGGCATCCCGTGGAGATACGCCTGGATGCTCCAGTGCAGCAATTTGCCTGTGGACCAGAGTCCACACTGGTGCTCACGGGCAGTGGGAATTTATTTCTCACCGGTCGCCTCAATGAATTTGTCTTTCCCAAGTTCACGGAACTGCAGAAGAATCTCTCCCAGACCGAGCAGATCATCTTCATGCACATATCCAAGGCGAGCGAGATCTTCATAGTGACCAATGTGGGCAGCATCTATCGTAGCTTCGAGTCGGTGCGCAACAAGAGTTTGGTCTTTCAGCGTTTCTATGACTACGATAGCGAGGAGAATGGACCCATTTGGAAGCTACTCAAGGGCTCCTCCTTTTACGCGGTGCTGAGCAAGGCCAACAAGTTCTTTACCACTTTTTCGGAGAGCGGACATCATCTGAAAACCTTTCGCGAGATCTCCAAGTTCAAGAATCTGCGTCTGCTCGACATAGCCGTCGGCGACCAGCACATTTTGGTGCAGGGCCTACCCAGATCATCCAATCTTTCGGCTACAGTCGGAACGCCAGCAGAGCCGCACAGCTATATGAGTCGCAGCTTTGTGCTGCAGCCAAGGGATCTGAATGGCAATGTAGAGATGCGTAGCGCCAGCGGCAGAAGTCTTTCCAAGCAAAAAGCATTGAAGGAGACGGACACCGAAACGGACAAGGAACAAGGATTCAATGCAATGGGCGCAAGCGTAGCAGCAGTGGGTGCAGCTGTGGCCACGCTGGAGGCAGTGAAGCATATTTCGGATGAGCAGCAAAATGGCACAGATGAGCAGGAGACCAACGCGGAAATAGAACAGAAGCAGGAGCCGAAGCAAAATGCACAGACAGAGGCAATAAATGCTGATGTGAAAGAAGCGGAAGTAAAGGCCGAGCCAAAAGCAGAAGAGTTAAATGGAAACAAGGAGCAGCCGTTGGTAGAACAAGACATAGAGAAGCTGGAGGCAACACAAACTGAAGCTGTCACAAACGGAGCAACTAGCCCAAAAGAGAGCGAAGCAAGTGAATTGAAGCCGGAGCAAATAGAGCCGACAGCACCTGAGGAAAGTCCAATTAATCAGCCCACAAATCAAACAGCAGCAGCAGCAGCAGTGGAGACCATAGCAAAGCTGCCAACGCCACCTGCGGATACGCCATCGCCCAAGAAATCATCAACAGAATCGTTAGATTCAAGCGAATTTGCGTCCCAGGAGCTGGCCACCCAGAGCAGTCAGGAGAAGCAGCTGCGTCCGCATACTCCCTATCCGGAGAGCAGCAATGCGAGCACACCACAAACTATTAAGAGGACGCCCATCCGCAACTTCTCGTACGAGGCGGCCATGAATCACGATGAAATCGAGAAAACCTCTCCCGAGCTGGTGAACAGTCTGGATACGGTCGAGGAGAATTCGCTAAAGGAAAATGCACCGCAAACAGAAATACAAATATCCACGCCCACGCCGCCAACCGAAGAGGACGAGCAACTGGCCGTTGAAATAACGACCACAGAGGATGCGCTGGACAGCAACAAGGTAGTGAATGAGATACGTTTCATTAACAATGGCGTCGATGTGACAGCCAAGGTTGAGGAGCAAATGCCTAACACTCCATTGGTCGACTCCGTGGAGGAGCTGGAATCGGAGGGTGAGCAAATGATACACGAGCTCGAGCAGCATGTAGATAAAGTGGTCGCTGAACAGAAGACAGAGGCTATCAAGGCCACGGAAAGTGTGGGCAATGTCATCGAATCCAAGCTGCTGGAGACGCGCGATTCTGTGCAGATGGCAATGCATAATGCGGCGACAGGGGCCCGCGATACTGTAGAGGCTGCAGGCGAACGCGTGGTAAATGGGGCACGTCAAGCGGTCGATGCAGCTGGCAAAGGTGCCCAGCGTATAGCAGATGGGGCCAGAGATGCTGTCGATGCGGCAGGCAAGAGCGCACAGCGCATGGCCAGCGATGCCAGACAGTCCATGGAGCAGGCGGGCAGCACAGCTGCTAAAGCAGCAGCAAACACAAAAGAATCCATGGGCAGGGCCATGGACTCAGTGACCAGTAAGATATCCAGCGAAGTGCATGGCGCCAAGGAAAACATTTCCTCGCTGTTCCAAATCAAGGCGGCTAAGGACTCGCGTCCTACGCCAACGCCCACTTCGACACCGGAAGAAGCTGGACCACAGAGAAGCATTGAGACAGCTGGCTCTGGCGACGCAGGGGCCGAGGGGGAGGAGGATGAACGCACCACGGCCTCGGTGAACTCTAATCACAATTCCGCGGGCCATGGCAATGGCAATGGTAATGCCTACGAGCCCATGAACAGCAACAGTCATGCCTTTGAGGAAGATCCACTCGATGCAGTAGTGGAGCGTGGCAAAAAGGCCATGCAGGAGGAATTGCGCGCCCTTGAAGAGCAGCGCGCCCATTCACATGTCCATAACAATACCGAACAGCGAAGGCAGAGCACAGAAAGCAAAGGCATTGTCCAGCAGTTTCTAGATGGCATGCGTCTCTCTTGCCGCAACGAGAAGGCCGTGCAAATTGAGGGTGAGTACATAAAGTCAACTTGGACCCATCTAAATAAATACTAACCTGAAAGTGTTTGTTTTTCGGCCCGCTACCGGCAGATGAGGCACCACCGCAGGCGCAGCCGTCGCACTACAGCAAGAACAAAGTCAACAGCGAGCTGAGCCTGCAGAATGGCCAAACTGGCGCACAGCAGTCGTCACGCGTGTGCACAATTTTATAAAAATGCACTATATATTAAGAGAAGCGAACACTTTTATAAGCAATTGCATTTGATTTAAAATAAACTTGCAGATTCAATTTCGCATTAGAAATGCATGTTTTAACCAAAAACCTATCGATGATTTGTAGCAACTATCGATAATATGCGATATCGCGATACGTTCACACGCGAATGGCCACAGTGCTGCTAATTGGGTATTGGATAACCGAATGCCATTATCAGATCACGACAACGAAGTTGCTTCGGTTTTCTTTATACAAGAAAAGTGTGTTAAATCAATTATGAAGAAGTATTTGAGTAGACCATGTTTTGAACATGTTTATAGGTATAACTAAATGTTATCTGGCACCTGTCACAGGTGATGTGATCCTTGTGTGCACCTGTGACAAGTCGCAGGTATGTTAACAACACATCTCTAAATTGCACCAGTTCATCGGGTCATTTGTACCAGTTCTTTCGCGTCTATTTGGTACGCAAACAGTAAAAGCAAAAAAAAAAAACAATTTTTACTATTTTTCTACGTTTTATAAATGAATACAAAACAATAAATAATGCTCTAAAGCATAGTTTTAACTGAATTAATAACAAAACGCGTGCTTGGTGCACACTTGCCTGGCCCGCGAAAAATCCAATCAGAAAACGAAAAGGCCAGCACCAGCACAAAATGGAAAGGTAGGTCAAAGAGTGAGCGCGCCCAGCGCATAGAGTGTACATGCCCGAAATAAAAAAGGCACGTCTGAAGGGTATTAGTGTTATTAAACATGTGAAAAATAGTGAAAATTTCAGTTGGCCCATAACCTCAAAAGAGTTTTGGTTTTCGCTGCTGTTATAATGTGAGTGCCTATGTATGTGTGCCTATATGTGTTGGGTGTCTATGTGTGTATGCGTGTCCGAGTGGCGCGTTGTGAAGACGTCGACGTCGACTGAAAGTGGTTGTCGCTTGTCGGTGAAGGGGGCGACAAGAAGCAGAGCGGCGACAAGGTGAGAAGCGCGAGCGCGAACGTGAACGACAAGATCGAATGTGGAAAAACTACTTTAGAGCGAATTTAAAAAAAAAAAAAAAAAAAAACTACAAATTACGTTCTGCATGTCGCCGCCAAAAATACAAATTCAAAAGGACGTCCATAGCAGGCAATCAGGCTCCGAAACTTTCGCAGCAGCATAAATATCATCGAGTAATGCGGAAAAAAAACACATGTAATTCGCGAGAAAGTAACACGCTGTCAGTTCGCCCCAAAACGTGAATGTGTGTGCGTTCGATTGCGTGTATGTGTGTGTGAGTGTGTTTGTGTTTGTGTTTGTATGAGAGAGTGTGGGGGAAACGGGAAACGGCGACACAGCAGCAGCGGCAGCAATTGGAACGTGGAACCTGTCGGCGCACGTAAAAACCAGAGCCAAAAATTCAAATTACATGCATTGGGCGCGTTTTCAAATGCATAATCGCTAACAATTTTATAATTTATGTTAAACAGTCGTTAGAGAGCAGAACTTTTGCCGTAACAAAGGCCCCATAGCAGCAACCTGGGCCAGAGCCAATTCGATGAATAATTTAAATGGATTTATAATTTCTTAACATTTCGCAGTTAGTTTGGGAATTCCTCACATATTTTTGCATACCTAAATAGCGAATAACATGTAAAGATGCCGCCAAACTATTCACTCACCATCTCTCGCTCCATTAGAGCTGAGCAATACCGCAAAGTTGATAGTCAACGTGATTGTTAAATTGAATTGAATATCCAAACAGGTTCACAGATTTGCAGATCAAGTCCAAAGCTGTGATCATTTAATATTTACATTACGGTGACAATCAGCTGTTGCATCTAGTTAAAATTATCGATAACAGTCACTGTTGTTTGACAGTCGCAATTGGAGAACTGCTGTTGCCCAAAAATCACAACATTGCTCATCTCTAATCACTTGTACTCTCTCTCTCTCTCTCTCTCGCCCTCTCTCTTGCGCAGGCACTAACCAACACAACAACAAGAGCAGCAGCAACAACAACAGCAGAAACCACAACCAGGCCAGCCAGCATGTCGTGGCATTTGTGAGCAGCGCGCCAAAAACTTGTCACGAAGTTTCTTGTCATAGACGTACGCGTCCGCTCCTAGAGCCACGCTCCCACTCGCCCCCCACACTTACACGCACACACACACACACACAGTCATTCTCCTACACACATACACCCGCCCAGTGCTCACGTCCAGTCCTTAAGTGCTTAGGCAGCTTATGATGCATATCAAGAGCCTGCCACACGCACATCAGGCCGCTGCGGCAATGAGCAATTGCGACATTGTCATTGTTGCCGCGCAACCGCAGACCACCAGCGCCAACAACAATAACAATGACACTGTTACACAGGCAAGCCATGCCAGCCATGCGGCAGCTGTGGCGCATGCACAGCATCAGCAACAGCAGCAGCAGCAACAACAACAACAACAGCAGCAGCAGCAACAACAACAACAACAGCAGCAGCAGCAGCAACAACAACAACAACAACAGCAGCAACAACAACAACAACAGCAACACAATCAACAGCAACAACAGCCGCCCGCGCCTACAGAAATCGCCCTACCCTTTAACATGCATTTGAGCGGAATTTCAGCGGAGGCACACAGCGCTGCCCAGGCGGCCGCAATGGCAGCTGCGCAGGCCGCGGCAGCGCAAGCCGCCGCCGCGGATCAACAGCCAACAGCACCTCCCGCGCCGCCATCGGCACACACGCTGGCTCACCTGGTGGCCAATGCTACGCATAGTCCGACGCTTGGCGAGTCGCACTATGTTAGCAACGGTCACTCCAACAACGAGCATTCGGGCGAGGGTAATGGCTCGAGCGGTAGCGGCGGCCGGGAGCCGGAGAAACCATTTCATTGCACAGTGTGCGATCGACGATTTCGCCAGTTGAGCACATTGACCAACCATGTGAAGATCCATACTGGCGAGAAGCCCTACAAATGCAACGTTTGTGATAAGACGTTCCGTCAATCGTCAACGCTGACGAATCATTTGAAAATTCATACCGGCGAAAAACCATACAATTGCAACTATTGTCCCAAGCATTTCCGTCAGCTGAGCACTCTGGCCAATCATGTCAAGATTCATACGGGTGAGCGTACATTATTTATGGCAATTAAGGTCGCAGCTAATCCTAGCCTCCTTTGCAGGTGAAAAGCCGTTCGAGTGCGTCATATGCAAGAAACAATTCCGCCAATCCAGCACGCTCAACAATCACATAAAGATCCATGTTATGGACAAGGTCTACGTTCCTGTCAAGATCAAAACGGAGGAGGACGAGGGGTGACTAGGACGCATGGCGTTGGCGCAACATCATCATCTCCATCACCAGCAGCAACAGCAGCAGCAACAACAACATCATCAACAGTCGTCAACGCCAACGCAGCAGCAACAACAACAGCAGCAACAACAACAGCAGCAACAACAACAGCAACAGCAGCAACAACAACACCACATCGAACACCAACGTGGAGTTACCATTACGACGCTGCCGTCCACAACGACAGTGGCACAGCATCAACAGCAGCAGCAATCGCATCTACAGCCCTCGCATGGCAATGGCAGCTCGCCGCATCCTCATTTCAATGTAGCCGCCTTGGGTGATTTGTCCAGCGCCATGCAACTGGGCGCCGTGACAGCCGATGGCAACTTTGTGACCATGGGCGGCGTTGTGGTCGGACGCATACAGCATCCGCGAAGCGAGGAGCTGCAGCATCTGGGCGTCATTAAAGTGGAATCGCCAACGAATGGCATTGCCGGCTCCACAGCTGCCGCACAACGCGATGGATGAGTCGATAAGCCACTCCGCGAGCCCAGACTTAAGGAGACCGTTGACTCAAATGATATCGCGTATCTGGCGCCAGAGCAGCAGCAGCAGCGACTACGGCGGCGGCGCCGATTTAACAAAAGATAGACCGTAATCGTTGCCGTTGTTGTTGCTGCTGCATACGCTTACGTTGTTGTTAGTTGTTTAATTGTAGCGAAACATTGTTGTTGTTCTTGTTGTTGTTGTTGTTGTTGTTGTTAAGGTCTAGCTTACCAAGCTGAATTATCAGGCTTGCCCTTGGCGATGTTCGCATATTTCAAGTTCAAATACTATGCATCAAGCTGTTTCCGCAATCTTGGAAATCTTAGCTATACTCAGATGCAATGCGAGTCGTAAAAACGTTGCAATTGTATTTATCTGAAAGAACTTGAAATCTGATACGTAAACCAAACGAGCCTGAATGCAAAACGCTTCAATAGTAGCTAAAAGGAAAAGAAAAACCGTCGCCAACAGCATCATGGCCTAGAAAAGATCAGAGATTCACACTCATTAACACACACACACACACGCAGAGTCGTCAATAGCCACAATTTACTTACGAAGCAATAGGTTTAGAACAAGCTCCCCCTCAGCCTTCTACCCATACACATACTAACTAATAACTGTAACAGTTAGCGCAAAATCCTAAGTACTAAAAAACAAATCATTTGATTAAGCAAAAAGTCATTTCGTTTAAGTTGAAAGTTTGAAAGTGAAACAACACTAGAAATGTTTTACAGATTTGTTATATACTATACGAGAAGAAAAAAACGGGCAAAAATTAATCATTTTTCAATTTCAAATTGTTCTTTAGCATTTAAAGTTTAAGAGATTGTTGTAAATTGTTTAGTGCGAGAATTCTGCTGCATTCGCTGAGACACTTGACATAGTCAACGTTGCCCATTGTTTTAAATACTTATATATAGCATATAAAACAAGAAACAAAAAAAAAAAAAAACATTAACAATTCTTATTTCAAACCAATTGTAAATCATTGTAAAAGAAAATTGTTAACCATTGTAAATGCAGCCATTTTAGTGAACACGCGCAAAGCAAGGCGGCTTTGTTAGGTTCAAAGTCTATACAAATTCAATTTGTTTTTAACTAGCCTAATTATTTAAATTTTGTTCTAAGCCCACAACCCCCCCTACACCCCTGTCCAGCCTTTTCCCTTTTCCTCTGGCTCCAATCCAACGCACACACACACACACATCTAAGCGAAATTTTAATTACCTTAAGTGGCAGGCAGAAGCAACCTAATTATATAGTCTACAATTATATAAACATACTATAATTAGTTGATCCTTAGTTTGTAATTAATGGCCGCGCGCGCTTTGTTGTGGCCCATGAAAGTGAGTTTTGTTAATTTTAAAATCTAGTTTTTAGTCGTTATAGTTTTATATTTTGCAAATTGGCACAATTTGAAACGAAGCAATTACAAAAACAACAACAAAAATACAAAAAAAAAAAAAAACAAAAAACGCTAGTTAATGGAGTAAGCACACAAACTATTACTAATGCTAATATTAATCAGATAATATTGTGCGATAGAAAGCAACAAGTTCTGTACAAAGCCCGACTCCAATTTTGTATGTATAAAAATGACAGCAGGAGAAAACAAGAAATACGAAAATACTATTTTCTAAAAATATAAAATCTGCCTTTTTTTTATTTTCTATATATATATGTTTTTATTTTTATTTTTGTTTTGTTCTCAGTCGACTGAAATTCCCAAAAACGTTTTGAATTTTTAAGACTTTTCAATATTTTGCAAAAAGTTCCTATCGAGTTTTGATAAACAATTTCAAGCAAAATAACTGAATACGAACAAATTCCAATGTATACGAGAAGTCGAAGCAAAGGATGAAAAGAAGAAAAAAAACGATGCAAATAAATATAGTACATAAATGCATATAAATAAATAATAAATGTTGATAAATGTGTAGTGTTAAACGGTGAATACAAAGAAAAGAAAAGAAAAACAACAATTGTAGTATTTAAAACTAAGAGCTAACAAATATTCTAAATAATGCTTAAAAGAACGTTTTGCAGAAAAGAACAAACAAACAAAAAAAAAAAAAACAAATAAATGCCGGGTTACATATTTTCATACGCAGCGGCAGAGGAAATGCTTTGCATTGCTTTTTTACTGCAGTTTTGTATAGGAAAAATACTATAAAAAAAATAGTGAGAGAGAGAGGGAAAATGATAACTTTGGAGAAATATGAAAAGACGAGTGAAAAATTCAAAATTGAGTGCAACATCAAAAAAAAAAAAAGTTCGATTTAAAATATAAGTTAATTGCACTAATTAGACGAAGTTTAGGAAGCATTTCAAATAATTTGTTTGATTTTTTCCATTTTACAGTTGCTCTGCATTTCAATTAGAATTTGGTTTGACTGATTTCTTATCGGATTCTGATCGGCTTTATAGTTCGGCACCCTCTCCCCACATCCACCCTGTCCTAACATATGTATATTTGAAAGCAAAATAGGGGTCGTAGTGAGATTAGCAGTTAAGCGCCTAATTTAAATAGTTGTGTGAGTGTAAAACAAAAGCAAAGAATTTAGACATTAAATGAACAAAGCAAAGCATGCAGGAGATACGAGTAGAAACAAAAATGTATGGAAACAAAGCGATATGCTTAAAAACAAATAATAAAAAAAAAACACATACGAAATAACGACTTGATAATATTGTATAATTATACACAAAAGCTATATGTATATATTTACATAAATATGTGTGTGTGCAGTAGCTGTATTTATATGTAAATGTGTATGTAACTGTGTATTTAGTTAAAAACATATATATACATATATATATATATATTTGCAAAAACTGAAAAACAAAAGCCACGAAACAACAAAAATACAAAAGTATGAAAAACAAACATTTAAACGGGTTCTTATTGGGAGATTGCAGCACATCAGTGAATGGTAGATTTTTGATTTGATTCTCTTGGAAATGCTGATATTGAATTTATTCAAAATTCGTTTTTGTAAATCCTTTTGAATTCCTTGCTTAAATTGCGCAGCTCGATAGTTCGATTTTATTGTTGTTGATGTTAGACTCAGTTATCGGTTTACAATATCGCCTATCGTTAGCGATTGTCTGACCGTTGCGCACCCCCTAATCAGCAGCGGCCGCTTACAAGAAAACGTTCTGCCAATTTCGCAAATAAGTTCAGATTTTAACAATGTTTCGCCTACAACAGTCACAGCCCGACCCAGCGGAGGAACAGAAACGTGTTGCCGCCGAGGTGCGGAACAATTTCATTATGTTTGGAGCTCTTGTTGCAGCTATTCGGCTGGGTAAGCAATATTAAAACGTGCGAAGCTTATGTAAATACAGGTGTTTAATTACATTCGACATTTCTTGTACAAAAATAGCGCCTATTGTTCTGCAACACCTGAAAACTGCATAACAGCAACATATTTGGATCTAGAAGGAGGGTGATACAATTTAAGCGCTAAAAACAACAAAATAAAAATGCATTTATTTAAGCGCACGTGCATTAATTGCGGCTATACGATTACTTTTCATAAGCAAAAAGAGAATGAATGTAATATGCATATGCACACACTGTAGTCTATTTAAGCGTATTGCACCTGTAATGTAAATAAATCGTTTTTAATACAAATATATGTATATGCAATAAAAATTGCAAAATAGTATATATGTATGAGAACGTGTTTGTACACGATTCCAATTTATTTATATCGATATTTTGGTGGAAAATATCGTAAACAGCTCGCGGCACTTTCCAACACCGTGGACAAGACGTCAATCTGGCTAACACAATAAAACAACAAACACTGTATAAACAGTTGGCAGCTAGCTTTTAGACGTATAAAGAGTGGCCAAGAGGCATAATGAAAACGTAAAATAATTCCCACCCGGCTGCTGACTCAGGCGAACGCTGAAGCAATCCATTAAGCTACTTAGATAACGGCAACTGGCCAACTTTGCAAAGAGTAAAACAATAAAAACTGCAATACTGAAAGTGGAAACATATGGCACGCTGGCCGCGTCAGTAAAGTTGTAGATAACGGCCCAAGAGACTCTCCCGGCTGCCGCCTTGTACATGTACATCGCAATAATTATTTCCGTCGCCCGTCGGGCGTACATGCATGTTATCTAGATAATGGTTGGGCCCAAGTATGAACGCCTCAACACCGGCGACGTCGACGTTGGCAGCGACGCCGATGCCGAAAACAACATTGAAGAGGTCGAACTAAGCCACGACTTGACTCATAAAAATGCCAGCGCTAGTCAAGAGCGCCGACAGCTGTCGTCGCATGCCAACTTTAAATACGCGCAGAGCAACAGCAGCGACAACGGGAATAACGGCAGCGACGCCACGTCTGCACAGCAGCAGCAGCAGCAGCACACGCACGACGGCATGACACGGCATGCGGATGCAAGGTTCATGCAGATGGCCATTGGGACACTGGCCACAATACTGCTATATTTATCGCTGTCCATAACGCTCACCTTCTATCAGACGGACATCAATCGGGAGCTGCCCTTTCCGCTGACCATTGTCACGTATCATTTAATATTGAAGTTTCTGCTGGCTGCACTGGTGCGCAGCATCTATAAGATGCGTGTGGGCAAGACGCGCGTCCAGCTGGACTGGCGGGTGGCTGTGCGAAAAATGGCGCCAACGGGCGTTGCCAGCGGCATTGACATCGGTTTCTCCAATTGGGGCCTTGCACTGGTGCCTATATCGTTGTATACAATGACCAAATCCTCGACCATTGTGTTTATACTGCTCTTTGCCATCTTGCTGGGACTGGAGCGCAAGGTGAGCGTGCGTTTGCATTATAAATATAGCAATTATAGTAAAATCAATTGGTTTTTTTTAGAGCTGGTCTTTGGTGCTCATAGTGGGTCTGATAGGTCTGGGCCTATTCATGTTCACGTACAAGTCGACGCAGTTCAATACGCTGGGCTTCTTCTTTATACTGTTTGCCTCGCTGAGCAGCGGCCTGCGCTGGAGTTTCGCGCAGTTTATAATGCAAAAATCCAAGCTGGGTCTGCACAATCCCATCGACATGATATACCATATGCAGCCCTGGATGATTGCATCGCTGTTGCCGCTAGTTGTTTCCATTGAAGGTGCCCAAGGATTTCAATCATAATAAGAGCAATAAGTTAACGTTTTCCACACATCTGTTCGCAGGTCCAAGGCTCTATAAAGTGCTAGAAAATCTGCATAATGTGTCCGAGGCGGATGTCATTTGGACGCTTGCCCGCATTACACTGGGCGCATTTATAGCATTTTTCATGGAGGTCAGCGAATTTCTGGTGCTCTGCAAAACATCCAGCCTGACGCTGTCCATAGCGGGCATATTCAAGGACATATGCCAGCTGGCGCTAGCTGTGGCGCTCAAAGGCGACCAGCTCAGTCCCATCAATCTGGTCGGCCTGGCGGTCTGTCTGGCGGGCATTGCCTGTCACCTGCTACACAAATATTCCAGCATGGCGAAGCTAAACAAGCAACAGCTGGCGCTGCAGCTAGAAGACGATGGCGAGGACATGTGCGCCGAGTACGACTTTAACAAAGGTAATACGATTGTTGGCGTTCATGGTAACACAGCTGGCACTCATGCGACACTCACTGCGCCGCTTCTGGAACAAACCGACTCAGAGGATGAGTCGGCCACTGATTCTGCACACAAGCAAAACGCATCGGATGTCATTTTCGATGTGCTCAAACGGCGCGACATGCAGCGATGAGCTGGTTGATTTAAGTTTCCCTGCACAACGCCACGTTTTTTTTTTTTTTGTCTGTTTGTTTGTTTATTGCTTCAAGGTTTCCGGGTAATACCCGGATAATTGTGATTGCGGGTGTGAGTGTGTGTGCGCGGAGGTGTGGCAGCTGTCAGCATGTTGACGCTCTTGTAAATGTTGTAAAAATTCGAAAGTTTTCTACTTAGTGCAACAATTTATCAACATCCGTGTTATGACCATATGTAAATGAATCGATGTCAGCTTATTTACACTTATATATACCCTTGCAGATGATATACTTTTGTATATACATGACTATTCTATCGATCATCTGACCAGATCATCAATTTGTCTGTTTCTATACTATTCGATTGAAGGGCCCATAATTGTAATGCGATATAGTTTTGTTATTCCGGCTCGATTCGGAACGCCATATGCGTTGCCATAAGAACAAATGTTCGATGGAATTAATTAATCCATGTCAAGTCGACTCTTTAGCTATGTCTGCAAGGGTAATTGAATTATTCGGTGTGCCGGAAATTGATTTAAATATTCCAACATTCCCCGATTGTCATTTATATTAGTTTGGACTTAGTTTGATAATGAAATAGAATTATCATTTAGCTGTTAATTATATTGTTGATTGGGCATTTGTGCATATTTTTTAGGCATCTTAGGTTTTAGCTAAAAAAAAAATTATATTTGCTGAAAGTATTCCCAACTACTATATGCCAATATTAACCCAATGAACTGGCAACTACTATACTTTTTATAAATATGATTTAACAAAGTGCAAAGAACACTTTTAAGGCTCTTTATCAAAATGTATGTGGAAAAATTTGAACTTTCCGGATTCGAAATAAAATTGTAACTGTATCAAATCTGCGCATATGATAAAAGTGTATAAAGAAGCTTACCATATATTTATTATGGGATCAAACCAAGATATGCTTGCTTGAACGTGTGGCTAATGCATCCGCTTCAGCCAAATGCCAATTGCATACTTCCATCGTCAGGCATGACTGGGCTGCTGGCCATTACGGCTATTCGGTCTTGAGTGCCAGGTCTAACACGTTTCAATGTTGCGCTTAGCCTTGTGTACCTGTGGTGTCGGCCTTGTCCTGCTATTGTTGAACTTTTGGCTTTCGCAGTCGACTCAGCGTACTTCGACGCAGATGTCATCCAATGAGGAGAGACATTTCAATGACACGCTGGCTAAGCTATTAATACCACGTTGGCCCGGCTCTCGTGGGCATTCGTTGGTCTGCGATTTTCTCATCGAAGAACTGCGTACGCTTGGCCTTGATGCAACTCGTGATGAGTTCTCGGACACATTTCCACTGACCAATGTGGTGGGAGTTCTGAATCCGAATGCAAAACAGTTTCTGCTGCTCAGCTGTCATTATGATTCGAAGTATTTGGAAACAACCTATCGTTATGTGGGCGCCACGGATGGTGCTGTCTCCTGTGCCATATTGCTGAACGTGGCCAAGAAACTGAATTCCCTTTTCCGCGACGAGTTTGGGCGCAATCATATCGGCTTGCTGGTGAGTGGCAGGATCCGGATAAGGTCTGGCTGTCATTATTACTATTGTCTTGCAGCTGGTTTTCTTTGACACCCACGATTCTGTAAATGGCATTACCGATAATACCTATCCACTGATGGGATCCAAAAGCTTTGTGAGGGCGGAAACTGTGCCATTAAATCGCATCGTAAGCTCCAAATTATTGTTAATCAATTATTTAAAGACAACTTTGCCATCCACAGAGTTTGGTCATCTCTTTTAATTTGATCGGCGCACCAGATCAAATCTATATGAGCAGATATGAGCGTACATATTATTTACACGAACGCCTGGCGGACATTGAGGAGCAGCTGCGGGCATCGGGTCAACTTGATCCGTGCCATCGGCTGTTTTACAAGTTGAAGGACCATGACAGCGATATAGACGACGATCACTTTTCGTTTCTAGCCAAGGGTTAGTTTTTGCAATAATTATGCATTGTAACTTATTAATATATTAAGTTAAATAGGCTTGCCGGTGATGCATGTACTGCCCCACACTTATCCGGATGTGTGGCTCCAAGAATCGGATAATCTACAGAATTTGCATTGGCCGACGGTTCGCAATATGAACACAATTATAACGCGGTTTGTCTATGAATATTTGAATTAGCTGCAAGGAAAATGGGCAGTTAGATTAAGTTGAGTTCAAATAAAGGAACAGCAAAATTACCACCATTTTTTAACTTCGATCACCAATAGCTATCGAATTGAAACGATTAGAGCTATTCGATAAGGTTCCAAAGCGGCTAAATGCAACACTGCGCTACGCAGCTGCTGCAATCTGTGTTAGCCGCCTTCCCGCGCATTTCATGCTGGATTAGCAATATTTGTCTGTATGATACAACCACCAAACAGTTTGGCTATTTGGTTTTTCACTCGTCCAAAAACCACTGTAGAAATCAGTCGCACCGCTCAAGTCAAACACACGCCAATTTAAATTCCATTGTGAGTAACCACACGCATCGGCATCGCTTTGGCGGTAACACCTAACCTTACATACAATCATACCACATACATGTATATTTATGTATACATTCTTTCATTCATATATATTTACATACATGTTGATGTTTTTTCTAGTTTTGTGAAAGAAAATTGTGAAATTTATCAGTTAACGGACAGCGAAAATGCCACGACGCAAGGTACTCACAAATAATAATAATGCCGAAGAGGAAAAGACGATGCAGCCCACAAAAGCAAAAAGGGCGCGAATGATATTCCATCTGGAATTGCCAGAGCGTCGTCAAATAATTGGCAACGTTCTAGTCTGCGGCACTGGCGATACCGGCCAGCTGGGCCTTGGCGAGGACGTCTTGGAGCGCAAGCGTCCAGCCTTGATTGAGAGCATACCAAATCCAGTGGATGTCTGTGCTGGCGGCATGCACTGTTTGGTGTTGACAAAGAATGGCGATGTCTACTCGTTTGGCTGCAACGACGAGGGTGCGCTTGGCCGCGACACCAGCGAAGAAGGCAGTGAATCGACGCCAGCCCTCATCGATTTGCCTGGCAAGGCGCTTTGCATTTCGGCGGGCGATTCGCACTCGGCGTGCCTGCTGGAGGATGGTCGTGTTTTCGCGTGGGGCTCGTTCCGGGACTCGCATGGCAACATGGGACTTACCATTGATGGTAACAAGCGCACGCCCATCAATCTGCTTGAGGGCATGGTTTGCTGCAGTATTGCATCTGGCGCTGACCACTTGGTAATCCTTACCACGGCAGGCAAAGTCTTTACCGTGGGTTGTGCCGAGCAAGGGCAGCTGGGTCGCATCGCTGAGCGTTCGGTTGGTGGCGAGGGTGAGTATTTTCGCATAAAATATCGTTGTGTGCCATGTGCTAAACATTAAATGTGTGCTATTTCGCAGGACGCCGGGGCAAGCGCGACCTATTGCGCCCGGACCAGCTAATCATAAAGCGCGCCAAGCCTTTTGAGGCAATTTGGGCTACCAACTACTGCACATTCCTGCGGGAGTCGCAGACTGAGGTCATTTGGGCCGTTGGCCTAAACAATTATAAGCAGCTGGCGCACGCAAAGGAAGCCGAACGCGTTCTTATACCCATCAAAACCGAGTTGAAGGACGTCAAGCAGATCGCTGGTGGTCAGCATCATACTCTGGTGCTGGACAATGCAATGCGCTGCTTTGCCATTGGGCGTCCCGACTACGGACGCTTGGGTGTGGGCGATGTCAAGGAGGTGGTTTCCGAGCTAACGCCAATTAAAGAGCTCAGCGGCAAAACCACATTTGTGGGCTGCGGTGAAGCTTGCTCCTATGCCATAACCACCGATGGTAAACTGTATTCCTGGGGCATGGGCTCCAATCATCAGCTTGGTGTGGGCGATGGCGACGATGAACTGGAACCTGTTGTGGTGAGCAGCAAGAATACACAAAACAAACGCATGCTGATGGCATCCGGCGGTGGTCAGCACAGTGTGTTTCTGGTCGAGTCCGATGTGAAGGAGAAGCAAAAGGAGAATGTGCCAGCCAGCAAGAAGCCAAAGGCAGCTGCTGTCGAAGCTGCCAAGGAGCAAACAGGGACAGATATAAAGGATGACGACGACACAGCTGCCGCAGCTATCGATACAATGCCCGCAACGGGCGATGCCGTTAAAGCGGTCAAAAAGACAGCAGCTAAACGTGGACGCAAGAAGGATTAATATAGAAACGTCAATGAACGTTTCATTTGTTTATTTAAGCCGCATTCGTATGCGCAGCTACACTTAATACTTTAAGCCAATTGAATAAAATGTTTATTTAACTGATTTTGTTTTAAATATATAGTGAAATTGTATGTGTAAGCAAAATAGCACTAAAAGCTATTGCAAAAGCCGAAACACAACGAACTAAAACATTTATTTACAAACTAATCAACTTTTTAATTATTAATATTAACCGTTTATAATTTACAAATATCATACACGAACTACAAATCCATTGTTTCAAGCGGCTACGAAAGAAGACAAATTCACGACTCGAGCATCTCTAGCCCATGCAAAAAGCAAATATGTGAATCATATAAATGCAAACGGGTTGGAGGCTGCCCATTTACTCAATTTAAAATACAATACTAATTTATGTGCTCATCTATATAGTAATTTTGTATAAGTATATGCATATATATATATCAACATATATATATATATATATTTTCCGACTACATGGAATATGATTCTGCTGGTTGATTGCCATGAACTGCTGATGCTGCCGCTGAATTGATGCTGGTATCGACCAGAGATAGGTCGGTGGTGGTTGTTGTTGTTGTTATTGTTGTTGACGAAGCGATGTGAACACCGCCTTCATTGTGGCCGTCATAGTTGCTACCCAGATAGAAGCTTAGGAATAGTATGCAGCACAGCAAGGAGAGTGAAAGAAGCACACGAGCTATTTTACGTGCGAATGCAACAAGACCAAGCAGATGACCACCATTGGCCACACCACCCATCTGACTGCCAACGCTTTGGCCACTGCGCAGGGACAATTGAAGGTGAGCCAGGAGTAACGCTTCTAAACAATCGAATTCATCATCTGTATATTCCAGACCTAGGCTTAAATCACAAGCGCAGTTCTCTCTGTGCATATTGAAGTCGTCGTTGTTCTGATTGTTGTTGTTGTTGTTGTTGTTTTTGTTGTTGTGGTCATTTTTGCTGGGTTGGTTTTGGTCGCTGGCAGTGGCTTCGTCTTGCATGGTCAGATTGCATTGAGACAGTAAATATTATTTGCGCTTGGGACACGTATATGCTGTAGGTTTGTGGCAACTTCCTCCACCAGAAGAATGATGATGAGGACGACCCCCCGATGTTTTATGCATCTGCTCGAACATTAGAAAGCCGAAACCAATAAAGAGCAGTAATAATAAAGCTAACGTAGCGTATTGTAAATGTTTTGTAAAGTTCAATTGAGCTTCCATTTTCTGGGCTTGCATCTGCAACTGTTCGGGACCAAATTCCTGTGAGGAGGCAAAACGAAATATTGAATTGAAACATAAAATCACAGGCATCTCAAGCTAAGCAAACGTACGCGACTCGATTGGCCATCGCTCTTGACGCCACAATCCTTTTTCTCATCGAGACGACAAACAAGACGATAATTCTCCACATCTGAGTCATTTGCAGTCTTCTCTCTCCACAATTCTATAACTTCCTGTGCGCCGCTTCCACCATCCGGCGTGCTAGTTGCCATTACAAGGAATTTATCTTTCCCATCTGAGCTGAGTGTATGGTCCGGCTTTAGCCATATGCTCACATCGGTGGTTTCATTCGGTTGGACCACACCACAGCGTGGACGAACGCGAAACTTCTCTGGCGATGTGGTTTGAATCTATAACGATGCGATGTTTGCCTTGAGATTTGATTAGGTGCAGCGAAGGAATGGGGCACATACCTTATAAGCGACCGGCTGACTGGAAATGTTCTTGAGACTTAACTTTGCTTCCCCGCTTTGTGGGCAAATATTGACAAATTCTTTGGGCTCCAATTGCAACATAACTGTACAGCAGATACAATATATATGTAGATGGGAAAAAAATAGTACGTTTTGATAATCAAACTATAAAAATTTTTGAAATTTATGTTCAAACGAAATAACAAAGTTTCATTAAATCTCATGCGAGATGTGACTGATTTTAAAAGCAATGTTGTATACGATGGCAGATATATGCCACACATATATATGACTTACCCTCATCATCGGGGGTTGTGTGCAGCTCGCCAAAGCTTGAGTCGTGTGGCGACATTTGAACGATCTTCGAGAAGTGCACCTGGCAAAGGGAGAGACACACTGACAATGAATGGATTCTATTTCAAATTGTGCCACTCGCTGGCAGCCCTTCTACATATGTACATATGTATATATCCATCAATCGATTCATGCTGAGCTCTGCCAATTTCGTAAGTGCCATTCATGCGCTCTTGGGCCCCACTTGAGCACGGAATTGGAGGACGTTGGGCAAATTGATTTGATTTACTTTAAAACAGTTTGCACGCCCATAATACGCCGCATATGTTGGTAATTGTGTTTTGATTTTTCGCATAAAACAGTGTTCCGAGAGTTTTATTTGTTATATAAAAAACTAGCTATACCTTTGTTATTAAGGCCGACACTTTGAGGCAGAGAACAATAAACCTCAGTTATTATTATTGTTGTTAAGTTAAATCGCAACTTAATTGCTCAGCTATTGAAAACTTAGTTGCACGTTATGTTAAGCTGCTGTTATTAACAGTGCGACTGTTATACTCAAAGTAGCCCGTGAGTATCGTAGCGTGCGACATGTTCGAGCTATTTTATTTTATTTTAAAGTAATGCATGACATCTGCATAGCTTAAAAGAGCATACAATTGCATACTCTATATTTCATTTCAAGACTAATTGTTTAATAGCATACACATATTTTTTGGTCGTACTTTGGGTTATCAGCGTACAACAGATATATCGATACCATTTACAGTAATAGAGGCATTGTGACGTAGCAGCGAGCAATGGGCTATGGACAGCATCTGCTCAACGAACGAAATCAAAACGGTATATGCAAATTTTGACTGAATTCAATTGAAATACAAATCTCCAAATAGAAATCCAGAAGTGCTGCAAGTAGCTACGCAAGGTTAAATTCATGTCCACGCATCTTGAATATCAATTGGAATTCGTTTTCGTTCTGTACACCCATTCCGATGTCGTTGTTATGCTTTGTTTAGCATAAGCAGCACAGCACACCCATGATCACCAATACACATAGACAGATACGCACACACACAGCTATATAAGTCGACACCACCTACCCTGGGCATGTTTGCTGAAGAGCTGTGTGTTCCGTTTTTTGATTTCTTTTGCTTTCTTTTTGGCCTTTTGGTTAATATATTTTGCAGCTACTTTTACAGGTCGCAGATTGCCCAGAAACGGTTGTATTTATATCGGATATATAGTTAATATAATGATATTTCAGACAGCTGATGACGCCTTCCCGACGTACCGCGACAAACGTGGAAACACAACTAAAAGCACCGCAAAAGCAACAACACAAAAACCAAAAGACAAACACACAAAAGCTCGCGCTGCCAAAGCAAAAAGCTTTCGGCTCTGCGATCGGACTCTGTGAACAGCTGTTCGGCCGATTGCATCGAATGTGCAATTGCGATTCATGTTAATTCAATTACGTTTACACAGAATGCGGGCGGGCGAGCGATAAAATGAGTAAAGTGAAAATGAATATGAATAATTTGTTGGTCAGACGAGCGGCGGCTCAACCGCTCGCAACGCCAAATGGGGTGCATTTGGGAATTATTTATAATGTATTCCACGAGTGTTCTATTTATTATTTTTCTACTATGTGTGTGCGTGTGTGTGTGTGTGTTTTACAGGTCAACGCCTCGCAACGCTTCACTGAACGAAAGCGAAACTTTTGCAATATGTCAAAGAAATGGCCATAAATAGCAAATAACCGTGGACCCTGCGGGTCTATTATGCACGCGCAGGACACGCAACCTGCAGCGCACCCTAAATCAATACGCGCCTACAATGTAAATCAATTAGAGGAGCAGCAAATTCTGTGGCTCGCGTGTCTATTGGTCAGGCAAAGCAATTAACAGACAAAACTTCCGGCTGGCCCACAACAGCTCAAATGAAACACACCCAAATAAAGAACTGTACACACATACGCACACCAATACAGACAAGCACACGTATTTGGCTCTGGGTTATGGGTCACTTACCTTCTTGTCCAAGCCCATGTCCTCATGTGGCTGGTCGTCATCGCCGGCATTTGCGGCCTTCGGTTTGGGTGGCGGACGCTTGGACTCGGGCACAAATTGGAATTCGTAGCTGTCATTGCCACCCCAGCTGACCAGACAATTGTCCTTGGGCACATATTGCGTGACGTCCTTTTTCGATATCATTTTCAATATCTCGACCGCCTTGGGCGGCAGCAGAGTCTTGATGACCTTAAAGGCGGCTACAAACAGGTGCAAAATGTTCAGTGTCAAAGTTCAAGCCGCAGAGCTGCCGTAACCCACCATTCAGCACCCAGGCCAGCTCAAAAACCAGTATATAGTTGAGAGCATTGGGATAGTAGAGCTTAAAAGTTTCCACAATGCGCTTGACAAAGTCCAGATCCATGGTTGCCAGGCCCGTGCCGGCCATATCAAAGAATATGCTCAACTGGGTCAAGTGGCTCTCGCGCTGCTTGCGCTCTATCCAATAGACGACAATGCGTATCAGTTCATCCAGATTCTTGGATTTGCTATGCAATCTGACCCGAAAGATAAGCAACGGCTTGCCATCCACATCCTGACCGTGCACAAATACCGAACCCTCCGTCAGATACTCTTGATTCAGTTTGTCCTCGGTCAAGTCATTGGCACCGTACGACTGACGCCAAGTGCACGTTTCCCAGAGTTTATTGAAGGACGTCTCCATATCCAGATCATGCATTTCGAGAAAACGTCGCAGCCAGACATGATCGTTGCGTATGCGATCGATGTCTATGGGATGAAAGGGTTCTGGAATAAAATCATCCAGAATTATGTTAATATTTATAACTTTGCTTTTTTTCTGCTAATTATTAGACATTGTTATTAGTCATTAGACATAAGAGGGTTAATGTTTGGGGAATGATATAATAATGGAACGATAGGAAAGTTAAGAGAATTCTTGAAGAAAGAACTTTGAACTTTGCTTTCTCCCTTACAATATTAAGATGCGATCCTAAATATCTTTTCATTTTAAATTCCAATCCCAAATATGTTTCATCTACAATTTTAAATGTCTTTTATATACAATCTTAAATCATTTTCAATTTCAGATAAGGGTTAATAAAGTTGACAAATCGATTAGGTATAAAATTAAAAGAAAGCTTTATCCACTAAAGATCAGTGAAGATCACATGAAGGTTGGAATTCTGTATATCTTTTATTTATACAGCCAGTCGCGACGTTTAGTTCCGTAATCAACAGAAAACGTATTGTATTCACAAGGTAAATAAGCAATCGATTGTAATAATATTTTATGACTACAAATGGCTTTCCACAAGCGATATGCGACTCCAATGCGGCTCATTTAAAATGTTCTGTAAATATGCATATAAGCCATAATGCGTATATACATAACACTTGATAGTCGAGCGGCGCTGGGGCTGCACCTGGAGGTCAATTGCACTCACCTGCTGGCGGCGAGGCGGCATATTTGGTGTTGAATCTTTGGCGCAGCTTCTCGATTTGCTCTGCGCTCGGATTCTTAACTGTAACGCCCATTGTGAATACTCGACAATTGTGCACGGACTAAACATTGAACGGTGAAAACAGTTCAATTAAGTTCTGTGCTGTGCTTATCGCGTGCCACTCGTCAAATCGATAATCCACTTTCTCAGCACGATAAAGCGATAAGATTTTAGTTTCCAATATTTCCAGGCACCAACAATCAGCGACAAGCGACAATTAACGAATGCAAGTGCTTTACACGAGCTTCGGCGACCAACTAACGGTTTTGTTCAGCGATCAGCGAACGGTAATTGGCATTCGATTGGCGCACGAGGCGATGTGGAGCACCAATACACCCAATGGAACGCCTTGAAAAGGGCAGCTATCGCCCGCCTCTGCCGCTGCCGCTGCTGCTGCTGCTGCTGTTGCTGCTGCAATAGAACGTGATCGTTTCCCTACGCCGACTGCATTCAAATGAGTTTTGAGCATTGAGCGAAAGCTTGGCTAAGCGAAAGCTTAGCTGAGCGAGATTAGCAAAAACTTGCACTCAAGCTGTGCAATTTGACACGCCGCAAACTTAATACCCTTGCGGCATATGGCTAAAAGGTATCTTAAGGCATATACCGTTATTCTAATCGATTGTTTTTATATCAGCTAAATGATATAGCTAAAAGATATAGTTTAAATACAGCAAAATTTGTTCTTCTCTTTCTTCCAGCTGGGATCTGGGAACTTTTTGATATAGTATTCCAATAAAAGTTAAAGATATAGTAAGTTTTCACTTTTCTCATTTTTCGACTGATTCTACCAATAGAGCTAAAGAATAATATTGTGAAATTGACTCTTCTGTGCTTACAAGCCAATTAATGAAGCCTGATAAAGCTTTTTAAATTAAAAGCTAAGTATTAAATATCTTAAAGAACAAACGGACTTAATTAAGCCTGCCTTTATCAACTACAGATCTAAGCAGCATGGTAAAAATAAAATATCTTGCAAAACCAGAAAGAGTATATAGTTATTGACTGAGTATTTCTATTACAGCTCTATGATATAAAGGTCTAATCCCATGAAAGCTTTATGATACCGGGGTCTGTATAATCTTGGGAAGAGCTTTAAAGCTGAGACACAAAAACATGGCTACTCAGCTTTTTCTTCTGATCAAGAACATGTAAACCTTTGACCTTTCTTTGTTAAGCATATTTCATGCTGAAATGGGAGTACCCTTTGCGGGGATGTGAAAAAATGTCTGTTGGGTTGGGTTAAATATTCACATTATATTTAATTATATATGTATATAAGGCCTGGAATTAGTTAGGTGTGAACTTGTAGGAGTATTCATCGGTGCCGCCCCAGATCTTCAGGCAGTTGTCCTTACTCACATACTCGTTAATGTCCTTTTTGGTGGTCACGCGCAAAATCTCCAAAGCCTCGGCGGGCATGAAATTCTTGACCACTTTAAAAGCCGCTAAAATGGCAATTGTCGAGTTTTTAAACAAAATCAATTGTGTTTTGAGAATGGACTCACCATTTAGCAGAAAGGGCAGCTCGTGCACCAGAATGTAGTTGGGCGCATTCGGATATTTGGTCTCGAACAGCTGGATAATACGCTTAATAAATTCGATGTCCAAATTGCCAAGGCCCGATCCGGTCATGTCCATGAAGAGCGTTATTTTCTGTAGATAATTTTGGCGCTGAATGCGCTCCACCCAGTAGACGACCAGACGGATTAGATCATCCTGGTTCTTGCTCTTCGAGTGCTTCGAGATGTTCACAATGAGCAAGGGCTTGCCCTCGTTATCCTGGTTGTGCACATAGATTTCGCCATCGTGCAGATACTCCTGATTTACATTGGACTCGTTAATTTCGTTGGCTCCGAAACTCTGGCGCCATTCACAGTTCTCCCACAAGCGCGTGATTGTCTTCTCCACATCCAAATTGTATGCCTCCAGAAGCTGCGAGATCCAGATATCGTTATCGTTAATACGCGCCAGATCGTTGGGATGAAAGGCAACTGATGACGACAACAAAGACACGAGTCATTGATTTCAGATTGAGTTTTTGGTCAGCTTATCTCACCTGCCGGCGGCTCGGAGGCCAGTTTTGCCAGAAACCGGGTCTTCACCTCGCATATTTGCTCTGCGGTCGGCTGCACTCCCTTAGGCATCTTGTCTAGCGCTTTGCAACTGGAATGGCCAATGGGCTGTGTTAAACGTTGAATTTATATCAAAAACTTTGGACAATTATCGCCCCGCTACTGTGCTCGATCACTGATAAGTTATAAAAAGCCTCCGAGTGGGGTTCTCAGGCAGCCTAGCTGTTGTTCTTCGCTGTCAAGCACTTGGATGAGTTGCCACCGCGCAGACCAATCAACTACTAACAGCTGCAGCCGGAGCAAACTGGGGGTTTCTATGACGTTTGCTCGTTACGCTCTCGGCTCTCCGGTTCTTCGGTTCCGCTCGATCATGTAGGCGAGCAACTCGATGCGTGGGGCAGCCGAAACAGACCGTTCTTTAATCAAATCTGAAACTTGCACATTACCCAGCTCGTTAGAGAAGAGGCAGAAGTTGGGACGGGGTTCGGGGCAAGCCGACAATTGCGATAAGACGGGAGCGAGCGAACCAGCCAGCGAACAGTCCGACCAACTGTTAGAACCGATTTGATTCCACCATGAAACTGTTTTTTAGAAATTGATTTTTTATTACTGCCACCGGGATTTTTTTTTATTTTTTTTTATTATTATTTGTGCATTTGTTTGTGGAATGGTTACGTAAAAGAATATACAAATTTCTTATATGATCATTTACTTACGTACGGCTATTCCCAGGAAAATTCAAATGATTCTATACTATTTAGACTACTATGTTATATTTTGTTTAAGATATTCAATCATATTGAGAATTTTCTGTGAGTTTTTTATATCTCAGTGGCAGATCTTCTTCTGTACAGATACTTTTATATATACCTATTTTTTGGCTAAGTATTTGCACATTTGCAGTAATTTTTATTTTTCTAGAAATTTTACTTTATTATTTGGTTGATCATTTAAAATAGTTGCCGCCCTCGCTTTTCTATGAAATCCATCATTTGATTTGTTTAATTTGTTCTATTAGCTTTTTGGCAACTCATCTGGAGCTTAGTTTTTGTTGACATTGGTCGGCGTAGGACTAGGGCAGCATTTACATATTGAAAGCTCCTTGCTACCCCACTACACCCCCCCCCCCCCCCTGCCCCCCTTCCCACACCCTCAGCCATGCCATTAGCTCGCATGGCATTTAGGCCATCATCGAAAACTTTCGCTGGCGTTGGCCCAGTTGTGTTGTTTACGTGAAAACGTGCGCGTTGAAAGGCATCTTCGCCATCGTCCGCCGTTTGGTCCAATGCGGATGCAGTGCAGCAGCTGGAGCAGTGAGCTAAGCCGCCAAAGATGAAGTTCGCCGAGCATTTGACGGCGCATATAACGCCAGAATGGCGCAAGCAGTACATTAATTATGAGGTAAGCCATTCGAAAAGTGGGCGAAAAATACGCTAAAAAATATGTATCCCATAAAAATACAAGCGTGTGCTTTTCCTAGCTGTCAGTTCTTTGATGACGTCACGTGAAAAACGGCTGGCCAGCTGTCAAAAGTGTGAGAAAGCTTTTGGCGTGTGGCCCATTCGGCGCATGCGCCTTCCGTTTCCATCTAACGCGCTTTCTGTTTTGCTCGCCTCAAACGTAAACAGTGAGAAAAGCAAACACAGTGTCTGAAAGAACTAAATGCACACTATGATAACCCGTTAGTTATGACTAGTGTTGACTCGATAAGCATTCTAAATTGTTATCGATAACATGCCGATTGCAGCTGTGGCGGGATTTTTAAACAGTTATGCAACACTTTTATTAATACTGCCATGTATTTCAGGAAATGAAAGCCATGCTGTATGCAGCCATCGAGCAGGCACCCTCCGCGGAGCTGGTGGATCGCGAGATGGTAACACGTTATTTTGCCAAGTTTGACGAGGAGTTCTTCCACTACTGCGACAAGGAGCTGGCCAAGATCAATACCTTCTACTCGGAAAAGATGGCGGAGGCAACGCGCAAATATGGCAGCCTGCGCAGCGAACTGACAGAGGCTTTGGAGTTGGGCCATGTAAAGAAGCAGCCCGCTTGGAAGCGGCGCACACCGCTGGTCAAGAAGGATGCGCCCGCACGCAAGTTACAGGATCTCAAGTTGGCATTTAGCGAGTTCTATTTGGGTTTGATACTGCTACAAAACTATCAGAACTTAAATTTTACGGGCTTCCGCAAGATACTCAAGAAGCACGATAAACTGCTCAGCGTGGACTTCGGAGCACGCTGGCGCACCGATCACGTAGAGGCGGCGCATTTCTATACAAACAAAGACATCGACCGGTTAATACAGGAAACGGAACAGGCCGTCACCCAGGACATTGAGGGCGGCGACAGACAACGTATGTGTTAAATTCACGAGTCCGATGCATATATGATATTATATTTTCTCTGGCATTTTCCAGGCGCCATGAAGCGTTTGCGTGTTCCGCCGCTGGGCGAGCAGCAGAGTCCCTGGACCACATTCAAGGTGGGCCTCTTTTCCGGTGCTTTTGTGGTGCTCTTCCTGACCGTCATCATATCTGCCATGTTCTACGGTTTTGGTGAGAACTGGCGCGTTGGCCTGCGCATGTTCCGAGCGCCGTTTCTGATCACCGAATGCCTCTTTCTCTGGGGCGTCAATGTCTATGGCTGGCGTTCGTCCGGTGTCAATCATGTGCTCATCTTTGAGCTGGATCCGCGCAATCATCTATCCGAGCAGAATATTATGGAAATAGCCTCCGTATTCGGCGTCATTTGGGCCTGCTGTGTCCTTTGCTACATATTCTGCGAACCATTGGGCATTCCACAGTATGCAGCTCCGCTGTTTCTGTACACCTTGATGGTTACCTTCCTGCTGAATCCCACAAGGACGTTTCATCACGAGGCCCGCTATTGGGCGCTGCGCGTGCTCAGTCGCGTCATCATGGCTCCGTTTTGCTTTGTTAACTTTGCGGATTTCTGGCTGGCCGATCAGCTGAACAGCATGGTGCCCGCATTTCTGGATATACCCTTTCTGATGTGCTTCTTTGGTCGCAATCCCACGTGGCATAAGGCGGGCGAAGGTGAGTAATTGCGGCTGGTATAAATATTCGATCCTATTGCAAGTTCAAGCTTAAGAAAATCTTTTTCAAAACAAGTTTTATTTTTTAAAGCGGTTCTTCAATTGTTAAAGTTAAAGTCAACCAATATAAATTTATGCAGTGCATTCAGTCGTGATTTGGGAAAGAAAAAACTTTTTATTCACATTTTATATTTTTATAAAACGCTGAAGTGAAATAAATTATTTATGTTACTTTATGCAGTTTGTTTCGAAAAAAAAACTGATTTCATGAATTTAGGCAAAAACAACATTTAAACTTGTTTTTCATGAGATTTTTTTTTTTCCAGCTGAAAATTGTAAATCATTTTTTTGCAAAAGCTCGAAATGAATTGTTGATTATAAAAAAGCAATTGAATCACTTGCAACAGTTAATTCTTGAGCTTAACTTTTTTGCTTTTTGTTTAATTGAGTATTTTTATGTTTTAAGCTGGCAATCACTGCGTGCAGTATGTATCAATCCTGCATCCGATTGTGGCCATTTTGCCCGCCTACTTCCGGTTTGCCCAATGCATACGACGCTATCGGGACACGAAGGAGGCATTCCCACATCTGGTGAATGCGGCCAAATATGCGACATCTTTCTTTGTGGTTATCTTTGCGCATAAATACCATACGACAACAGGTAAGTGAGGCATGGCACGTGTGCACCATTAGGAGAAGCCCAGAAACTGTGTTGTTTATGTTGCGCTGCCAATTAGCGTTATTTTCATTGTTGATGTTAATTTGATGTGCCCCAAATCGCACGCTGCTTGCAGATAGCTATCCGCTGTCGAAGGAGAATCCCTGGTTCTACTGTTGGATAACCGCGGCCCTGTTCTCATCCTGTTACGCCTACACGTGGGACATCAAAATGGACTGGGGTCTGTTCGATTCCAAGGCGGGCGACAATCGATTTTTGCGTGAGGAAATCGTTTATTCATCGACGGTGAGTTCGGCTATGTGTGGGGGCTAATGGTAGCCATAAATATTTGGCCAAGCGTATGGCACGTAAAACAATCATTCAACCAGCCATCCATTATGATGCTCAGCTCTGCTCATCTTTTCTTTTCTCTCTCTTCCACCACTTCGGGCATCTCTTGTTTCTTGCAGTGGTTCTATTACTTTGGCATAATTGAGGATTTAATATTGCGTTTCAGCTGGACGCTCTCGATGAGCCTCATTCAGGCCGGCTATATTGAGGGCGATGTTATGATGACCATACTCAGTCCGCTTGAGGTGTTCCGACGCTTCATCTGGAACTATTTCCGTCTGGAGAACGAGCATCTCAACAATGTGGGCAAGTTTCGAGCCGTGCGCGATATATCAGTGGCGCCCATGGATTGCTCAGATCAGGTAACTGCCACTTCAACTAAATTACACTCCATATACAATTGCCTGTGTTTATGTTTACACAACAGACCACAATACTGCGCATGATGGATGACACGGATGGCGTGCTTAATCGTAGGCGTGGCAAGGCCGCTGGCGGCTCTGGCGGCAAATCTGGCAACAAGAAGAACAAACATGAACAGCAACGTTTACTCCTTCAAGGCGAATCCGTTGAGGATCTGTGTGCCTAGTGCACGGACCTCCGTTAACATCCAACCCATTGTGCACAAATATTAAGTATACGTAAATATAAAACACAACAAAAACAAAACAACGCATTTTGGCTGGGTAGCGGGGCACGTAAGTCACATTCAATTGAATTGCCAACACTGTGGCCTCCAAAACGATGTGAATCAACTACTCTGATGAGCAGGACGTGCCAATGAGTTAATCGTGTGGCCCAGGCATAGCCCGAAGCTGCACGTTTCATGTGACATTTTCCACAAAGCATTGTAGTTTTAGATTTTCACGTTCAAAAACCCAAGCAGCATCAGTCGAGAGTGCGTGACCTGGAAATAATCTTTGCACAGGCGTCGAGCTTTTATCCATTTTTGTCCAGTTAATAATATTTTAATCTACTTTTTTAACACACACATCGAACATTCATGAATTAATATTATCGCAAATACCCCACCTAATTAAATTAATAAATTTAATTGAATGACCGACATATGTGGCGTTTTTTTGTCCCTGATATAAGCACGTACGACTGCAAATTAAAGTACACAACTTATTATGACCGACATGATACAAGCAAAAAATAAATCGAATTCGTAACTCTTTTGGGAAGATATCTCGTGCAGGTCTGAATGACCTTAACATATAATTTTATATATGTAAATGTATAAAGTATACTAGACTATATAAATATAAAAACAGTAAAGCCTTACTTTAATTCATGAGAATCGCATAGAAGGGTACCATTTATAAAAAAAATTTCGGTTGCATTTGATATAAGAGAACACCCAAGCACAGAAACACACATATATATGTACAAAAGTGGATGCATACACACACACACTTACGAATAAGCATATATCCATACATAAACACAAACATGTACACCATTCCTACATTAATACATTAATATATAATAAACTTTTAATCACTTGTTAAACAAACACTTAGTGTCAAAGGGATGACAACCGCAAGCCTTACTTGTATTAATGAGAATCGCATAGTAGGGTGCTATTT